CCAGAGCTGTGTGCGTTGTAGTGCACGATGGCCGTCCCAAAGTACATGATGACCACAACCAGGTGGGAGGTGCAGGTGGAGAAGGCTTTGTGCCTGCCCGTGTTGGAGCGGATGCGGAGGATGGCCAGCAGTATATAGAGGTACGAGATGACTATTGACAAAAATGGGCTCATTCCCATGAAGACACTGGCCAAATGCAGCATGATCTCGTTGATGTAGGTGTCACTGCAGGCGATCTTCAGCAGAGGAGGGACGTCACAGAAGATGTGGTAAATCTGGTTGGCTCCACAGAAGGAGACGTTGGTGGTCAGGAAGGTGTGCATAGTTGAGTTCAGGATACCTGAGAGCCAGGACACTGTGGCCAGTGGGACACACACTTTCTTATCCATTATGTAGATGTAGTGCAGGGGTTTGCAGATGGCCACATACCGGTCAAAGGCCATGACAGCCAGCAGTGTGCCCTCAGCCCCTGAGCAGCTCATGAGGAAGAACATCTGTGCCATGCACTCCCAGTAGGAGATGGTCTGCTGCTGCCTCAGGAAGTTCACCAAGATCTTGGGCAGCGTGACGGAGGAGCAGCACATGTCCAGGAAGGAGAGGTGGCCGAGGAAGAAGTACATGGGGCTGTGCAGCTGGGGATCCAGCACGATGAGGGTGAGGATCAGGCAGTTCCCCAGCAGGGGGACGAGGGAGATGGCAAGGCCAGGAAGAGGAAGGCCTGGCCCTGCAGGACGCGGGAGAAGCCCAGGAAGATGAACTCTGTCACCTGCGTCTGGTTCGCCCCGTCCATGGGGCCGGTCGCATCTGGTTACGGGGAGAGAGACCAGCCGTGAGCGGAGGCAGAGCGTGGGGACAGGGGTCCGGAGCAAGACCAGCCCCTTCCCCAGCGCGGCTGGGCCGTGTCACGCCGACGGGCAGGGCCCTCGGGGCTCCGATTGCTGCCCCTTGCCCCACGCGCACACTGCAGGACCACAGCGCTCGCTCCTCCACACCCCTGCACGGGCCGTACCGGGGGGGCTGTAATAACAGTGGGGGTGTCCCTGGGGACACCCCCGCCCTCTGGCTGCCCGTGTCAGTCTCCCTCCCACCACGCACGCAGCCGGCACTGTGCGAGCAGCCCTGAGTGCACTGAGGCTGGGACGTGCATGTCCTTGATGCAGTCTCTGGCCACCTTTCCTCCTCCCCAGGCTCCCTGCGCAGACTTTGTCACCAGCTGAGCCCCCACCACCGGACCGACCCCACCGTTTCCCATGCGGGCAAGCAGCAGAGCCTGGCCCCACAGAGGAGCCCTCGGTCTGGCTGGCTGTGCTCCAGAGAGTATATAGAGTAAATAACTAGAGGACGCTCTCCTGGGCACACGCTTACATGTGCAAGGACATGGGAACAGATTTGCTCCTCATGGCAGCAGTCTGCTCCCACTTATCCAGATGTGTAGACATCTGCCCAGGGTGGGTTTACGTTAGAGTAAATTACTCCAGAGCAAACCAACCCCAGGGCATGTACACGTGCAGATGCACCCAGTGAGTTTCACTCCTCACTCTCCTCTGTGTTGGGGAAATAAGCCCCTTGGTCTCACCAAGAAGCTATCTATTACTTGTTCCCTCTTTGCCCAAACTGCACGTTATCACCTCATGGGCATTGATCCCTAGGCAGTACCCACTTCCAGTCCAGTGATTAATTCATCATTATGCATCACAATGACGTCCAAAAGAGTGACTTCCTGCTGGATGGAATAATGTGTGTGTGACCAAATCCTCACCTGCAATGCTTAGAAACAAATGGTGGTGCAATAGAAGTGGCATGAAACCTCCAGCACGTCTCCCCAGTAGAAACGCCCTACAAGACACAGGCACAAAATGGGGAAGAAGTGACTGGGCTGAAAACCTGCAGAAAAGGACCGGGGGTTGCAACACCCCACAAGCTGAATAGGAGTCCTCTGTTCAGTGCTATGGCCAGGAAAAGAGAAGCTAACAGCACAGTGAAAGAAAGATAAGACCATGAGCTAGGAGGAAAGGTTGGATTACGTGGGATGACTAAACGGGATGATAAAGCGAACAGCACGCTGAGATATAGGACCGTGGCATATAAGGACAGATTGGATGAAATGGGATCATTTCATATGGAGAGGAGAAGAGGGAGGGGACAGATACGAATCCAAAAATTGTTGTCAGAGCAGTGTATTACCATCCTTGTGTATGTGCGGCCACAGCAGACGAGCGACGAAGAAACAAGGTGAAATGTCCGTAGAGGAAACATAGGTTTAACATGTGAATAACGAAGAGGGTAACGATGAGTTCACGGAAACCCAGCAGTGAACTCACGCGATGTGCTGATGATGGAGAGCTGGGAGAGTTTGCCAGTGCAGTGCAGGATGGGGAAATCATATCAGACATAGGTGACCCTGATGAAATGCTGTAGCGCACAGTGCAGGGTCGGGGCCATAGGGACCGACAACAATAATTTGGGCTGAAAGCTGGGAATTTGTGTGCTGAAAAAGATGGAGCAGGAGAAAGATATGAGTGCATTCGCTGCACAAAAGCAGCAGAGCTGTTTACCCCAATGGATCGGGCTGGCACAGGAGCAGGGGGATAAATGGTCATGCCTGCGTTTCAGCTGGGAGCTGCAGGAAGGTTTCCAACCCTCAGAGCAGCAGGGCTCTGCACCAGCTTCCAAGGGGAGTTCTGGGACATGGAATGGGTTTCAGGGCAGAACTGAATCCATGTCGTGGAGGCATCTCGTACTCGGTGCTTGCCGATGAGAGCAGGGGTGGGCTGGTGGGCTGGGGACAAGTACATAAGTATGACAGCCCCTTGCAAACCAAACGCCGTGCAGCCAAAGGAAGGTCAGACATATGGGAAAGAGGATGTTGGCCTGAGCCGCAGAACAGGGGACTGCAGCCGGGAAAGCCGTGCCTCGGGGACAGATCGGGGTCCGGGGAGACAAACTGCTCGGTCCCGGTTGACCAGGCTGACGCCTGGTGCTCAGGAACAGGGTTCCTGAGCATGGGGGCTGGGGATGCTGGACCAGGCGGAGGGGGCAGAGCTCACACGGATGTGAAATGAGGAGACCTGGGCTGTGGGGGCAGCAGGGGAATGCAGCAAAGGGTAACGAGCTGCACTTGGGGGAGGAAAAGCAAATGGACAGATAACACCTGGGGACAGCGCGTGGGTGAGCAGGTGCTGCGGAGATGGGTCTGGTGGGGACCGTGCATCGCACGCTCAACACGGGACGGCCACGGGTGGCTGTGGGAAGACACAAGGCAGTCTTGGGCTGCCTCAAAGGGATTTCCTCACCCTGGTTTCGAATGATTGTGTGAAATGCCGTGTGCCAGGGAGCTGGTTGCACTGAACATACCGCTCTGCAGCATGGGCTGGGCTTTAGCTGTGGGGCTGTCTGGATGAGCATCATTTTAAAGAAGGATGTAGAGAAAGTAGAGAGAGTCCAGAGATGAGCAACCTGGGGGAGAATGGCCCTGGACGCAAGCTCTGAGAAATGGGGAGAACCTGGGGATGTTTAATCTGGGGAAAACAGCAGTTCAGGAGCAGGGGGATGCAGGGCTGGAAGGGACCTCCCAGGGTCATGTAGCCCCCAGCCCCCTGCCCCAGGCAGGACGAGCCCTGACGGAAGCAGCCCAGACACGTGTCGGTCCAGCCTGCTCGTCACAGCCTCCAGGGATGGAGAGGTCACAGCTCCCCCGGGCACCTGTCCCGGTGCTCGACCGCCCTCAGACGCAGAAACCCCCTCCTCGTCTCCAGCCTCAACTTCCCCTGCGGCAGCTGGAGGCCCTGGTCCTCGTCCTGGCCCCTGCGGCCGCAGAGACAAGCCCATGTCCACCCTCGCTGCCATCGCCCTGTGTGAAGACTGTTATTAAATCCCCCCAGTCTTCTCCTGCCCAGACTACATCACCCTGGTCCTCCCAGTCCGGCTCCCGAGGCCCTAGTGATGTGACGGCAGTGTTTGGGCACCTGCCGAAGGAAGTGTTAGCCCTTGCCTCACGGGGCAGGATGCAGGATCCTGGCTTAAACCTGAAGCAAAGCAAAGTGTTGGCAAAGACGTCCCAAGAGTAAGAGAAGTAGGACTCTCTTCCCTGGATGCAGACATCTCTGATGTCCACTTTTTAAAGACAGGATGGTGACAAACTGGGGAAGGCTGGAACAAAATGCCCGGGGGCGAGAGCCCGACCTATCCTGCATGTCTGAGAGAGGGCCGAGGGGTCTCCGCTGCGGTCTCCCTCCACGGGAGGCATCAGCCGCTCGCCCAGGAGCTGAGCACACCCCCGACCTGCAGAGAAAGGCCTGGGAGCCAGTGCATGAAAGAGGAAGCCAGGGAGATGCTAATTAGAAGTGAGGCACTGATGATGGGGCATTGATTAGCAAGCAGAGGAACCAGGCGGCTCTGCCCTTGCTTCTCAGCCCTGGGCAGGAGGCAGAGTGCGGGGCAGAGCTCCCCATGCCCCGCTCACCCCCGCTCGGCGGCTGGAGAGGTTCCCGGACATCCCGGCAAACGGGGCTCTGGCCCCTCTTCCCTGCAGGGGTGCAGAGTCAGGGCATCCTGCTGGGAAGGGACTCGTGCTGGGGCCAGGGCAGCCTCCAAATCCGGCCTGTCTGCCCTGGTGTGACCCAGGGAGCCCGGCGCAGAGCCTGCAGGCACCTACCTGGCTGCTTCAGTGGGGACGAAGGACGGTTTCAGGC